GGGCTGGCGGAGCTAGGAAGCATCGTCTCTGTCTCTCAAGGAGCGGGTCTCCTTTTCTCTTTTCCCCACAGGGTGTCCCAGCCAGCATCGTGTTTTTCAGTCCCTCTGGCCTTAAATTCAGCCTCAAGTGTATTCAGGAGTTATCTGGTGAAGACATGGATCAAATTAAGGTACGCTGCTCTTTGGGTGTTGATCTTTTCCACGAATGATGCCGGGGTGTATGTGTCAGGTCAGAGGGTCCTTGGCCAGGCAGCTGGCAGGGCCGCGCTGTGGGACTGGAAGGCCCCCGCCCTCACCCACGGCCTCCCTCAGCCTGTCCTCATTTGTGACGCGTAGTCTTCACAGACCAGTGCATGTCCTCCCTGCATGGACTGTCCTGAGGTTGGAAGAGTGACCCCTGGTAAAGCACTGGGGAGAAGGGCATGGTGCCCACACTGGCCCCCTTCCCCTCCCAAATTCCCAGCTGAACACTGCCAGATAGTTTCCTTTTGTAAGCATCCCTGTTCTAAAAGGACTTATATTGGCATTGTTTAGGAACTACACTTGTGAGTCTCCAGTAATCACAGCCCTGGGGTGTCTTAACGGAAATGCCCTTGAACTGCTGCCTGCTGCAAGTGCCCCTCACAGGCCCGTCTCCAGACTGGAGCAGTAGGCTGAGGAATTGTGTCCTGCCCCTGGTCACACCGCTGTGACCCAGGAAGATCCATCACCCCGTCCCAAGGGGCAACTGGGCAGGGGGCAGAGTTCTTCTAGGCATAGCTCAGGCAATTCTCATGTAGGTGTCCAGCAAGACAGGGATGATTGTCCTTTTACAGCCAGGAAACTGAGGCTCAAAGAGGTTAAGCAGTCTGTCCTAGTCAGATAGTGAGTCACTGGGTGCCCAGCTCACCCGTGGGGCCCCGCAGAAGGAAGGTAGCATCAATTCTGCAGTTTGCACACCTAGCGCAGTGAGCACTGTGAGTCATCGGGTTGGGACGCCAGGCTTGGCATACGCTCTGCATGTCACAGGGCACTGTGCTGCTCCAACCCTAAGTCTGCCCCGTGGCATGGATAGAACTTGAGGCCACCCAGGCCCAGCTACCTCCCAGCCCATATTGTCTTCCTGGGGTCCAGTATCGGGAAGACCGGACCCCAGAGAGGATATCTTGTGATCATCTGTAAGTTCCGAGGTAGGAAAAGGCTCAGATCAGACTCACTCTGACCAAGCTGCCGGCCACACACTGTCCTGCTGTCTTCACGGTTGCCATGTGCTGGTCCCATCGTAGGGACTTCTTTAATTTTCTTAAACATAGTATCTTACTGAGGTAGAATTTACCAATTATAACACTTAATTGTCTTACTCGGTGTATACTTCAAAAAATATAAGCCAGTGGTGTTCAGGATAGTCACAAAGTGTGCAACCATCACAACTATTTTCATTCTAGAACAATCATCACCTGAAAAGAAACCGCACCCACCAACAGATACCGCTGTGTACCCCTCAGCCCTAGCAATCACTGATCTGTTTTCTGTCTCTTTATTCGTCCATTCTGGATGGAATCACAGAGTATGTGGCCACACAGGCCTGGGTTCTGCGTTGTTCACCTTGTTGGTCATGCAGCAGTACTTCATTCCTTGCCTGTTCAACCTCCAGTAGAGGAGGATTCAGGAAGCCTACCTTATTCATGGATTGATTACTCAAGGTTTGGTCAAACACAGATAAATTCATCAAAAGAAATTCCCAAATAGTATGCTTTCATTTTCACACACGACACAGCTCAGTGGATGCAGAGACTCTGTCAATCCCACATTGTCAATTGTGCTTAAATCGTGTGATCTGCTGAGTGTTTTTCTGACCTTCATTTTGCAAACATATACAACTCTCAAGCATAAGGTGCCCAAAAAGCAAGGTATTAAATAAAGTGCTCAGTGCTAGTGAAAATTTGAGATTTACTTAAAGGTTGCATTCTATAGACATTAAAGACCTGCATTCCCAGTGCAGTCCTGAGCTCTGAGCACCCGAGTGTGTCTGGTTTCCTGGGTGCTGGGCAGCTTGGAACCACATGCCCAGATTCCAAGCTACCCTATACCACACTTCACTATGCATTCATCGCTGATGGACAGCGAGGTTTTCCATGAATAAGACTGAGTATTAAAACAAGCTTGTGTGGGTGTGCTCTCATTTCTCTTCTAAATCCGAGAGCGAGTCTTGAGCTCTGTTTTACTGAGGATCAGATCAGCCCTTCGGCAGGGTTCCGGAAACAGAAGCAGAGCTGTGTACAGGCTAGGCACTTGCCCTGGCCACCCAGCCCTCTGCCTGTTCTTCCTCCTGGCCTCGCTCTACTGGACCCTGGGGATGGCGTGCGCTCGCTCATGCTGAGATCATGGCTGCCCGCTTCAGATGAGCTGAAGACTTCACACAGGAGCGATGTCCTAACAGAAGAGCTCACACACAGCCCCTGCTAGGTCCTGAAGCCCTGCCGTCCATTCCTTTGCAGTTCATAGCCATCGGCCCCAGCACAGCCCGTGCTCTGGCTGCCGCAGGCCTGCCTGTGAGCTGCACCGCGGAGAGCCCCACGCCGCAAGCCCTGGCCACCGCCATCAAGAAGGCACTGCAGCTCCAAGGCCGTTGCTGAGCGCCTGGGCTTCACCCCAGGCAGCTCTCTTGGCCCTGCTCTTCCCTGAGGCAGTGGCAGTCTCAGGCTCGTGGGAAGCTGCCACTGCCGAACTCCTACCTCAAACCTAAGTGGAAGCATGGAGGTCAGAGAGGCCCAGCCCTGGGGCCCAGCATGCACCTCACTATCCTCCAAGAAGGCTGACACCGAAACCTGGCCCAGGTGCACCCGGGCTTCCAGACCCTGCACCCTGGGATCAAATAAACCATACTGATGGAGTATGCTCACTACTGTGTCTTATTCTCCCTTGTGTGGTTTGCAGTCCAAGCTGTGTTCATGGGGAAATGGCTTTGCACCGAAAACATCAGGCAGCCAACATGTCTGGTATGAAGAGGAAATTTGCTGTGTATGAAGTAGACCGGTGGCTCATGCCTGTCATCTTAGCTACTCAGGACGCTGAGATCTGAGGATCATGGTTCAAAACCAGCCCAGGCAGGAAAATCTATAGGACTCATCTCCAGTAAACCACTAGAAAAGCGGAAGTGGCGCTGTAGTTCAAGCAGTAGAGCACTTGCCTTAAGCTGAAGAGTGTAGGGACAGCGCCCAGGCCAAGTTCAAGCCCTGGACCAAAGAAAAAAAGATCTTGGGGGCTGGGAATGTGGCTTTAGCGGTAGTGCTTGCCTAGCATGCATGAAGCCCTGGGTTCCATTCCTCAGTACTACATACACAGAAAAAGCCAGAAATGGTGCTGTGGCTCAAGTGTTAAGAGTGCTAGCCTTGAACAAAAGCAGCTCAGGGACAGTGCCCAGGCTCTGAATTGAAGCCCCAGGACTGGCAACAACAGCAACAAAAAAGAGCTGTGTGTGAGCTATGGACAGTTGTAATTTGAGTCTAGACCTTCCGCTTGGCGCAGGTCAGTCAGATCAGCGGCTCCTCCAGCACTGGAGACAGAGATGGATTTACCTAGAAATGTACAACCCTGCACAAATGCCCCACATTTTCATTTCCAGTTCTTAAGTGCTAGCCTAGAATGTCTGTCTTTCAGTCCATAAGGGCTGGTGTCAGGAAAGGTCTCTGCATGCTCCCCAGAGCTGGGGCTGGGCCTGTGCTGAGCGCCTCCCACAGGCCCATGTTGGCAAAGGCTGTCCAGGAGCCAGCTCCATTCCTCATGACCTGACACCCAAAACTCACCTCATATCAAACTCAAGTTAGTAGAAGGAACCATCCAGGACCCTTGGCTCTCCAAATCTTGGTGCTGTGGTTGGCACATGGTTGATGTCTGTCCCAGGAGGTTTGGCATGGTGAGAGCCTGGTCCCCACCTGGCACCTGGGAGCTGATGGAAACTTAGGTAAGGCCAGGCCTTGCCGACTGAAGTCAGACAACGAACAAGAAGCACTTGTTTTTGAAAGGCAGGTATGAAGATGGCACAGAGGGACCAGGAAAAGCTGGCAGGAAGCAAGAGTTTAAAATTAAAGTAGGGGGCTGGGAAGGTGGCTTAGTTGTAGAGTGCTTGCCTTGCATGCATGAGGCCCACATAAGCAGAAAAAGTGGGAAGTGGGGCTGTGGCTCCAGTGGTAGAGCGCTGGCCTTGAGCTGAAGAGCTGAGGGGCAGTGCAGAGTTCAAGCCCCTCGACAGACAATAATAATAATGTAGGAACCAGGTGCCAGTGGCTCACATCTGTGTGAGGTCTGAGGATCTTGGCTCAAAACAGTCCTGAGTAGACAAATCTGACGCCCTTATCTCCAGTTAACCAGCAAAAGTCCAGGAGTGGAGGTGAGGTGCAAGGGCTGGAGTGTCAGCCCGACTCTGGTCTACCTCCTGTGCTCTGCTCCCCTCTTGTGTCACGCAGGACCCGGGTGGGCATCTATGGGAGCGGCGGGGAGAGGAGGAAGTGTGAGGTTGGAGGACAGGACACCGGGCGCATGCAACCCCAAGTATTCACCCCAGCAGAGCTCAAAAGGCAAGCGCCTGCGCAGAGGCGAGCAGCGGGGAGCGGGGCCATCTAGGGGAGGGACCCGTGTCCGGGGTGGGGGTGGGGGACAAAGGGATCTGAGCAGAACGGAGGAAAGGGCCAGGCCCTGCAAGCCGGTTGGGTGCGGGAGCCCTGGTGGAAGCTGCGCAGGACGCGCATGCGCAGCCACGTCGGGCTGGGAGGCCCCGGGTGGGCGGTGAGGCCCGCGCGTGCCTCTACAAACAGACCAGCGTGGTCACCATAGAAATGCAAACCACAGGCACGTGCAAACCGGGGTGAGGGCGGGGAGGAGCCGGCTTCAAAGGCAGTGCACCTGGGCCTGCGGAGGCGGGCACACTTGGGCGCGGTGTGCGAAATGCCTGCGGGTGTATAAAGGGCCTGGGCCTGGCTCCTCGAGGGCCCAGACCGACGACCGATCGCACAGGCCAGGCCATGCGTGCTGCCCGTGACTTACCTGCGACGCTGCTGCTGCTGCCGCCGCTGCTGCTGCCGCTGCTGCACCGGCTGGCCGCGCCCCGGCCCGCGCAGGCGCAGGCTGAATCCGTCTTCCACAGCCGGGACCGCTCCGACCTGGCGCCGTCCCCGCGGCAGCGCGCCAAGCCCATCGCCGACCTCCGCGCCGCTCAGGTAGAGGGAGCGCCGCGCGTGCGCAGTAGCGCTCGCCGCCACGGTGGTGGGGGTGGGGGTGGGGAGCATGCGCAGAGCTCGCCACGGGGGCACGTGCAGCCCAAAGCGGGCTTCGTGGTTCGGGGAGGAAACCCGGGCTCCGCGCTTCCCCTCGCGCGGTCGGTTCTGTGGTGGCGCTGGGGATGGAACCCGGGCCGTGCCCAGGCTGGGCCTCAGTCGGGCCTGACGCGCGTGCGCGGCCGCAGGTGGGTCCCACACCCTCCAGGTCCATCCACCCCCAGCTCGGCCCAGGCCGCGCCGGCCTCAGCACAGGACTGGGTCCTGCTTCCTGCCTCCAGACGCACTCCACACCTGCCCCGACCCCCCACCCCCCATCCCATGGGCTCTGGGGGCAGGGACGGGACAAAGCAGCAGCCAAGCCCTCATGGCAAGCACTCCCCAGATCTGGGCGCACTTCTCTCCCACAGAGATTCCTGTCCAGATATGGCTGGTCGAAGGGGTCTTCAGCCCGGGGTCCCAGCCCCAAGGGGCCCCCACCGGCCCCCTCGGGCTCCGCCCTGGCCGAGGCCATGCTCCGGTTCCAAAAGGCCAACGCCCTGCCTGCCAGCGGGAAGCTGGACGCGGCCACACTGGCGGCCATGAACAGGCCACGCTGCGGCGTCCCTGACACGCGGCCCCCGCCCCAGGCTGCTGGGAAGACCCCGCCAGCCCCGCGGGCCCGACCAAAGCGTTTCCTGCAAGCGCTGCTGCCCAGGCCGGGCAGGCAGCGGGAAGACTCCCTGGACAGTGGGGCCATCTGGGCCTTCTCCAAGAAGACCCTCACGTGGAGGCTGGTGGGAGAGGCCTACAGCAGCCAGCTCTCCGTGGACGAGCAGAGATACATTTTCAGACTGGCCTTCAGGATGTGGAGCGAGGTGACGCCGCTGGACTTCCGCGAGGACCTCACGGCCCCCGGGACCACCGTGGACATAAAGCTGGGTTTTGGGAGAGGTAAGAAGGCCACAGACTCGGGACCCATGCAAGTGTCACAAGTCCTCTGGGTCAGGGCCACCGTGGCTGCCACACCCCCGCGTTGTGGCTCAACTAGACTGGGTGGGCTTGCTCCACGCAGACACTAGGGCGGCTGGGCTCAGTCCTGTGGCTCAGGTGGCTTCTGGGGCTTGCTTACCTGCAGCCAGGTAAATTTAGGTGTGCTGGTCAAAGCAGGGCGCCCAGCCACCTTGCTCCCATGGAGAAGCCCCAGGTTGCCTACGTTTTCTCAGGAGCACACACAGGCAACCACCCTGTGCCCTAACTTCTCTGCAGCTCAACTGTGATCTAGGGGTGTTTCCTCTCCCGGCACTGCTCCCCGCACTTGACACTGCCATCTTTTTTTTGGGGGGGGTCCAGTCGTGGGGGCTGAACTCTGGGCCTGGGAGCTGTCCCTCAGCTCTTCAGCTCAAGGCTAACGTTCTACCTACTTGACCCACAGCACCACTTCGGGTTTTTTTCTTTTTGCTTATGTGGTGCTGAGGAATCAAACCCAGGGCCTCAAGCATGCAAGGCAAGCGCTCTACCACTGAGCCACCTTCCCAGCCCTATGGCACTGCCATCTTTATCCTTCCTGGTGGTATTAATGCTGAAGCACACTGCCTGCAGCCTGGGCGCTCCTCCCAAGCAGCTTCCGGAGGTTGGGTGCTCTGAACATCTATGCAGGGCGGGGAGTCTGTAGCAGGCACCCCTTATTCACTGCCACCACGCTCTCTGCCCTTGCAGGCCGACACATGGGCTGCCCTCGGGTGTTTGACGGGAGTGGGCAAGAGTTTGCTCATGCCTGGCGCCTGGGGGACATTCACTTCGATGACGATGAACACTTCACCCCCCCCACCAGTGACATGGGCATCAGCCTTCTCAAGGTAAGTGGTGGGAGCTGCTCCCCTGGGTCAGCGAAGGGCAGGGCAGCAGCGGGCTGAGCGGGAGGCTGGAGCTCTCCTAAAGGCTAGTGGATCTCTGGGGCTGGCTCCCCAATTCTTGCCTGACCCTGTCTCCTGGGCAAGCCCAGCTCACCAGGCACAGGCCTTCTCTCTGCAACCTAGGGACCCGTCCCAGGGGTATGCAAAGACCCAGGCTGGGCCCTGCACCCACGCTTCATGTTCCCCTCTAGGTGGCCGTCCATGAAATTGGCCATGTCCTCGGCTTGCCTCACACCCATAGGACGGGATCCATAATGCAACCCAATTATACTCCCCAGGGGCCTGCCTTTGAGTTGGACTGGTCAGACCGAAAAGCAATTCAAAAGCTGTATGGTAAGGTGGGCCTGGGCCAATCCTCCCCATAACTCCTAGATGACACGAGGGGTCCGCTTCCACTCATGGGGAGGCTGGCCCCCAAGGAGCACAAGGCTGTGCAACTTGGAGCATCTGCCCTCTAGATCCCCATAGGATTGGAGAGCAGAGGGCTGGAGTACTGGTGCAGCACACAGGCCCTGGTGTATTCCCCGGGACCACACACTGACTGCAGCCACGGGTGGAGGACAACGCTTCTCTCCTCCCCGACCAACACACCCAATGTGGGTGGTCCCTCCTTCATCCTTCCTTTCATTTGCCTCCTACCCTGCCTGGGAGGAAAGAGGACCCTACAGCTGCCTAGACACAGGGAGGGCCCTGGGTATCTCCCCAAGCTGTGCGGATGGAGAACCGCTGGAAGTTTACTGCAATCCTAAGTGAAGGACAGCTTAGCCTCGCCTGAGTGGGTTTCAGTCTCTCGTCGTTATGTACCACAGTACTAGCAACTGCTTAATGAAAATGATTTATACCAAGCATAGTAGTACATATTTGTAATCCCAGCACTGGGAAGGCCGAGGCAGGAAGAAGAGCAAGTTTAAAGTCACCCTGGGGTACACAGTGAGACTGTGCCTCAAAAGATGAGATTTGTAAGCCGGGCGCTGGTAGCTCACGCCTGTAATCCTAGCTATTCAGGAGGCTGAGATCTGAGGATTGTGGTTCAAAGCCAGCCCGGGCAGGAAAGACTGTGAGACTCCTATCTCCAATAAACCACCAGAAACCGGAAGTGGCGCTGTAGCTCAAGTGGTAGAGCACTCGCCTTGAGCTGAAGAGCTGAGGGACAGGGCCCAGGCCCAGAGTTCAAGCCCCACGACCGACCAAAAAAAAAGATGAGATTTGTAGCTGGGTGCCATTGGCTCACACCTGAGATCTGAGGATCACGGTTCAAAGCCCAGGCAGCAAAGTCCATGAGATCTTCATCTCCAACCAACCACCAAAAAAGGTGGAAGTGAAGCTGTGGCTTCATGTGGTAGCGGACCAGCCTTGAGTGAAAAAGCTCAGGACAGCACCCAGGCCCAGTTCAGCCCCAAGATTGCCATAAAAAGAACAGAGAGATTAATGACTTAATGTGGATGCCTAAGGAATAGCCATTGGCCTCCTCCTTTCTACTGAAGGTCATTCACAAAGATCATCTCATGCCTATTCCACTCACTGCCTCCTGTTCTCCATACTCAAGAGCCTTTAGTGACAACAAAGCCCAGGCACATTTATTTCCTCCAGTGGAAATTGAACTCCTATGTGCCTTGAACCAACATTTTTTTTTCACTAATGAAATCCGATGGCGTGTGGACACACAGCTGCATCCATGCTGGGGCCAGGAGTGCTGTGAGCAACTAGTATGAATCAGGGCCAGCCTCCTTCCTTCCAATTGCACATGCACCTCTCTTTACAAGGTGCTTCCACAGAAAATCCCAACTTTGCAACTATCCGCATTGCACTTACCTGTGAATGTTGGCTTTTGCGCGGAGCATCCAGTGCCTGGATTTTTCTCTTTTATCCAGGCTCCTGTGAGGGATCATTTGATATCGCATTTGACTGGATTCGCAAAGAAAGAAACCAATACGGTGAAGTGCGGGTGAGATTCAGCACATACTTCTTCCGCAAGAGCTGGTACTGGCTCTATGAAAACCGCAACAACAGGACGCGCTTCGGGGACCCTCTGCAAATCCTCACCGGCTGGCGCGGGATCCCCGCACTAAACCTAGACGCCTTCGTCCACGTCTGGACCTGGAGGCGAGATGAACGCTATTTTTTTAAAGGTAAGTATGGCTCCATTTCCCTTAGTAAACAACTACATTCAGGCTGCGCACTGGTGGCTTATGCCTAGAATCCTAGCTACTCAGGAAGCTGACATGTGAGGATCTTGGTTCATAGCCAACCTGGGCAGCAAAGTCTGAGACCTTAATTTCCAATTAACCACCAAAAAGCAGTAAGTGGAGCTATGACTCAAGTAGTAGAGCGCTAGCCCTCAGTGAAAAAGCTAAGGGACAGCACCCAGGCTGTGTGGTGCACACACATGCACATACACACACCTGTACATGCAGGATAAATGTTTGAAGCCCCTAACAAGGAACCCATTTGGTTGCTGGTAGCATCTGATTAATTCCTGCTTGCACCATCCAATCTCAGGCCTAACTCACTAGGTGAATGGTGTGTGATTCAATGAGTGAGTGCTAGTCAGGAGAGCTTACTAAGAGCGGTGGAAAGGCCTACATCAGCTTTGCTGGTTCTGAAGAAGGCTGCCTTGGAAAGCAACCCACAGCCACAAGCGTTGAAGGGACTGCCGCAGTGGTGACGCTGCCCTGGTCGGAGAATGGAATCAGGATGATGCCGGCGCTGCTAGCAGTCAGGGCTGGACCTAGACTTATGGGCAGGTGAGATGTAAAGCACTAGAAAGGCCACTTGGAATGGGTGTGTGCCTGCATGTGTGTGTGGACAGGCCAGCACAGGGCGGTGCCTAGAAAAGGCCCATGGAGACTAGTGAGTCCATGAGGTGATGGGATACCCACTCAGTGACATTTCTGGGGGACCCAGTCGGCTTCACTTTGGAGAGGCTTGAATGCAGGACCAAGGGTGGGGCTTCACCAAGGGCAGGCCATTCTGTCAAGCACTTTTGCACACAGCCCGTGTGGGCACTCAGCATGGCAAACTCAAATGGCTACAGCCTAATCCCCAACCTGACAGCGTGCACATCGCTTGGCCTGAGCCCTATAATGCACTGCTCTACACCACTCAGTAAGGCAGGAGAAAGACTGAGACTTTCACTGTAAGTGATCCCCAGGCCTGTTTCCCATGGTTTGTGTTAACAGATCCCATGATGTTTCTGATTGGTTCCCAGGAAACCAATACTGGAGGTACGATAGTGATCGGGACCAGGCCTATACAGAAGATGAACAAGGAAGAAGCTACCCCAAACTGATTTCAGAAGGGTTTCCAGGCATCCCCAGCCCCTTGGACACAGCCTTTTATGACCGAAGGCAGCAGTTAATTTACTTCTTTAAGGAGTCCTCTGTAAGTATCCTGCTTCCCCAAGCACTGATGGATGCGTCAAGTGATCGAGCTCTTAGTTAAGAGCTCTTCCCATTACTTCATATCTAGAAAGCGGTGGCAGATCACTAGGTAGAAAATTATAATTTCAAGTCCCAAGAACTGCAGTCAAGTTAAGTGAATCTAAAAATCAATGATTTTGAAAAGCCGGTCTTACTGTGTCACATTTCCTTTGCAGGTATTTGCGTTTGATGTCAACAGAAATCAAGTACTTGACTCTTATCCAATGCAGATCACTCAAGTTTTTCCAGCAGTAGCACCACAAAACCATCCCTTTCGCAATATAGATTCAGCCTACTACTCCTATGCACACAACTCCGTGTTCTTCTTCAAAGGCAATGCCTACTGGAGAGTAGTTAACGACAAGGACCAACAACACAACACATCGCTGCCTTTGAATGGCTTACTTCCAAAGAGGCCTACTTCAGGGAAGTGGTTTGACGTTTGTGATGTTGATGCATCCACACTGAACATGTGATGAGAACAGGAAAATGGAAGTAACCATAGGAGTTCTCTTCTGAGACAAAAAGCCCAACTTCTTTCACAGAGAAAATGAACCAGGTTTTCATTCGCTAAAGCAAATATGGATCCTTAAACCCAGTACAAAAAGCATTCCCTAACTCTAAAACGCCTTGATTTAAAGACCATTATGGGGGGAGGGGGGAGATCAAATAATTTTACTAACATTTTAAAAGGAAAGCTTTAAAAAGAAAGAGAAGCAAGCACTCCTAGGTGGGGTGCTAGTGGCTCATTTCCTGTAATACTAGCTAGCTACTCAGGAGGCTAAGATTTGAGAATCAGGGTTTAAAGCCAAGCCCAGCAGAAGTCTATGACTCTTATTTCCATGTAACCAGCAAAATGCCAGACCAGAGGTGTGACTCAAATGATGAAATACCAGGTGTGAGTGAGAAGGCTAGGAGAAAAAAACAAAGCAAAAAAAAGGCACCCCCCCCAATGGCTCTTCCTTTCTCCGCTGCGAGGGCGCTGCTGCCGTGTCCCATCGGTGCACTGCCCAGTGTGCGCTTGCGGGGGGTGGGCAGCAGTCAGCCAGACCCTCAGGAAGGACGTGCCGCCCTTAGAGGCACTTCTAACAGAGGGGTTTGATGAACCATCACAGAATTTGCATTTCTATTACAAAGCCTCTGTTACGACGTCTTCCTAAAACCTCACAGTGAGCCAAAGGTTTTCAAGCTTCGCTTGGGTGGCAGGAAGCACGGGCACATTCTGGGTGAAGAAATGGAAGCTCCTCTGCCAAACCCCTGTTCCTTGTGGGCTCATCTCCCGGTACCAGCTGCTGCCCTCTTTCCTCTCCATGCGTACTCTCTGGCTTGAAGTAGATGTGCACCCGATGGTCCCGAGCAGCTCTTCCCTGCTCTGTGCAGCCCACCCAGTCGGTGTTCTCCTCTCCATCGGTGACCACTACATTCTGAAGTCAGACCACCGTGGAGCTCTGGAAGCTCACTAGGTAGCTTTACCTTTCCTCTATCAGTGTATCTAGGATAGGAATTGGGCCCCTTTAACTTGTATGCAATATTGGTACTTACGGGTTTTTGTTTTGTTCTTTCTGGTGCCAGTACTGGGGCTTTACTCCAGGCTTCCAGCTCTTGTCCCACCTTTTTGCTCAAGACTGGTGCCACTGGAGCTATAGCTCCACTTCTGGCTTTCTGCTGGTTAATAGAAGAGAGTCTATAGGATTTTCCCAAACTGGCTTTGAACCATGATCCTCAAATCTCAACTTCTGAAATAGCTAGGATTATTGGTGTTGAGCCATCTGTGCCTGGTGCTACTTATTCTTAATACACATCAAAACCCACACCTTAGGGAGGTAGACAAAATCTAGGCAATGAAATTAAGTGAAAAAGACTCAGTAGCCTATGTGACCAGATTACAAATATTATTTCTTGTAAAGAACAAGCTAGCTAGGTATCACAGCTCACACCTGTAATCCCAGCTTACTGGGAGACATTAGGACAATTGCATTTCAAAGTTAGCATAGGCAAGGAGTTGACAAGACCTCATCTTAAACCAGTGAGTTAGGCATGGTGATACGGACCTGTAATCCTTGCTTCAGAGGCCGTAGATAAAAGGCCTCTGGGCAAAAATACAAACGCTATCTGAGAAATGACTAAAACAAAAGAGGGCTGTGGATGCCATCCAAGTTGTAGAGCAACACAAAGTCTTGAGTTCAAACCCCAGTACTGTTGAAACAAAGGACTAGCTAAAGTATAGGCACTCCAAGAAACTTTGCCGGAGGAAAATTACAAATGCATATGAAGAGGTCATTTCTCTCCTCTGCAGAAGTTTTGTTATTGCTGACCTCAGAAGATAGCTAGAATTTATATTTTCTCACCTAAAAATAATTTTCCTCTTGACGAAAGGCTGTTGTTCATCTAAGGATGGCTTAGGAGACAAAGTAAGCAATTTTAATAGCCCTTAACTGTGGCTTATTTCTATTTAAGAAATTCTTTTTAAATTTATCAATGGCAGACAGACACTGTCAGTCAGTGAAGTATACAGATTTAACCATGAGCGGGGGAAGGGCTGTCCCATCTGTGGGCAGCATCTCCTGCACCCAGACTCAGGTCCGCAGGCTTGTCCACAATGGGGTCAATGGCTGGAACTTCAGATTGGACCCAACATCCAAGTGTCTGGCTATGCAGTACCCTGTACCTTGTCTTTCCTGCCACTGAGTAGTAATTGTGAAGAACTGTGGGGCAGGGGTGCAGCTCAGTGGAAGAGTACATGCCTAGCACGCACAGGCCTGGATTCAGTTCTCAGCACACAAACCACAAAGCCAGCAGAGCCTGTCCGCTTTATCCTTTGACAAGAGGGTGCATGTCTGCACACAGCAGCACCGAGAACACAAAACACTGCAGTGACAAGTGACTGGATAGCTGGATCTTACTTTGACTGCTATGATCTTTTACTTTATAAAGCTGAAGAATTAAACTGAGTTCAAATTGCAACTCCATGTGAAGAATGGAAAATGAAACCAGAAGGATATTTTAAATAAATAGCTTATTTATTCAAAATAGTTTTCTTACCTTATTCACAGTTTTGGGTTTATATGAAAAGGGGGTAGTACCTAGTCTTTATCAACTCTCACACAAAACCCCGTCAGAACATGCATCAAATACAGACTGCACAAGGTTTATCTTTGAAAAATCTCCCACTACACCTTAAAAAGGGCCCTTGTTTTTGTGCATTTTAGAAGGAAACACTGTAGATATACAGCAAGTTTAACTCATTTGAACTTACAAAATTATCTGGATAAGTCTCTAAACCAAAGTAACATTTTTTCCAAAATAATCAGATCTTAAACTCGTGTAGCGCTAGTGTAATTGCATCACAAAGTCCATGGAAACCAAGGTGCCATGTGCTTCGCACAGAGAGCACAGCGCTGGAGCAGCCCTCTTGCTTCTGCCTCAAGCACTTCAGAAGCAGCAGCTTTGCAGAGGACTCCACCGTCCGCCTCTGTCCGCGCTGGAAATGACTGCCTCTGCTGCTCACCTGTTCACGCAGCATCTCCTCACCTTCAATGGGACAGCAGAGAGGCTGGACAGGGCCGCTTGGCGTGGAAGGCACTGACAGCGACTGCAGGCGTGCTCTGTGTGCTCATGGGACGGCGCCGCCACCGGTGCTGCCCACTTCCTCGGCCCCCCGGGAGAGCTGCTCCAGCAGACGGATGACGACACCAATCCTTTCCACTAGAGTGGCACTTTTGTTCGCAGTCGCTCTCAAAAGCTGGGAATACACCTGCTTGTTGTTTTTCAGGACTGCATCTTCTTCAATGTTACTGCTGGAGGAGAAAGAGTGGCTGAGAGAGCAGTGGCACAGACAGCAACAGCAGCAGGTGCCCCACCCTGGCCGCCAGACTACCACACACCTACCACCCTGGCCGCCAGACTACCACACACCTACCACCCTGGGCCTGCAGACACTGATGCCGGTGCCCCTTTAACACACCCAGGTCACTCCCTGGCTCTGTGGCAGGGAGTTGGAGAAGGGCACTGGGAGAAGACACAGAGGGAGCACTTTCCAAAACAATGTCATTAGCTCAACAGGATGAGATTGGGGCTCAAAGCCCTGAGACTCGTATCTCCAATTAACCCCGAAAAAAGTCAGGACTAGAGGCAAGTGGTAGACAGCTAACCAAAAGTGAAAAGCCCAGCAAATACAAGGCCCTGAGTTCAACCCCAGGGCCAAAGTAAAAAACACCCCCTCCCCACAAAAACCAAAACAATGTCAGATGATATATGCCAAAGTAAAATGCAATGGAGATGGCCAGGGGCAGGGACGCTGGGTGGCAATCCCTTTACTCTCTTTAAAGGCCCTCAAGTTGTATAGACAGGCACACAGGCACACTGCCCACTGGGGCATGAGCTCTGGAGCCCAGCTGCAGCCATACCTCCACTCTAACTCACTGGCGCAATTCTGGTATGAGAGCACACTATCAACCGTTCCCCTTAGGAAAGATCAGCATACTATGTTAGGTCCCCAACTGCATGGCAAGTCAAGCTCAGTGTGCCTCTTAACAGTCCCATGTGACACCCACCCCACCCCCATGAAACCAGATAACAGCTGACGTCCCCTGACTGCGGTGTAGTGCGGCCCCCGTGAAGAAGGGCAAGGATTGCACTTTGTTTCAACAGCTCAGGTCCTTGGATCAAAGTCTAAGATCTGATTCCACATTGGGTGGGTCTCCATTTCCAAAGTGCATCTCTCCGCGCACCAAGAGACTACCAGGACTGGCACAGAGCATCTGCTGGGACAGTGTCCCAGTCATCCCTTAACCAGCCCGACCCATTAGAAACCCACTTCTCCACTTCTTGTGTGAGTGGCTCAGGGCCTGCACTCTGTCCCTTAGCTTTTTTATTTTCATTTGCATGTTAGCAGAAATATAAGAGAAACGGTCACTGACACACTAGCCAACACTGACGCTGTTTTGTTTTCAAACTGTCCAACACACTTAGTGTATGAACACAGTATCACATCAAGTCTTTTGTTTAATAAGCCCTAAAAAAGAACGACCCCAAATACCTAGTAGAGCTGCATGAACACATTTGAAAACTTTAAATAATGATTTTCTTCAAATGAATATGAATAAACTGAACTGACATAAAATTATTTCGGTCACCACAGGAACATATTAAAAGACTGAAACTATTACCTGTCAGCCAATTACCTAAATCATTCATTTGTGAAGTCAGTGAATTACTGCGTTACATACATTTATATTGCCACCTTGTGGAAACAAATTTACTTGACTGCTGTTAAGCAAGGAAAAGCCAGGAGCTCCTTTTCAAGGGTGTGTAAACACATGCACTGTCTGCTTTGCCTTCATCCTGCTGGGCACCTGAGCTGTGAGCAAATGGGCCGAAGGAGCCACAGCACATCAAGGACTCTCATGAATGAAAGTGCTCCTCACAACACTAAGCTGCACTCAAACCAACTAAGCTGTTCTAGTCAACCTGCCCTTTCCCTCCCAACCAACAGGACCTTGAGATAGTAAGATGGCTCCTCTGTAGCATGCAGCATGGAGAGAAGATCTGAGGCGAAAGCTGGAGCAGACATTAAGAAGTTCCGTATGCAGTCTGCCCCACCATACCATGCAAGGTTTGACTCCCAGTGGATGCTTCAAACTAAGGACAGTACTGACCCTTACATACTCCCCTCCCCCCACCTCTACCCCCAGCTGGACGGTGGTGGTTCATGCCTGTGATCCTAGCTACTCAGGAGGCTGAGATCTGACAATAAGTTTGGAGCCAGCCTAGGCAATAGTCTGTGAGACTTATATCCAATAAACTACTCAGAAAAAACCAGAAGTGGCCATTTGGCTCAAGTGGTAGAGCACTAGTGTTGAATACAGAGACTGAAAGACAGAGCCCAGGCCCTGAGTCCCCCCACAACTCCCCCCCAAAAAAGTTTATAAATTAGGCACTTTAAGAAATTAGCAATAACAACTCACAAAAAAATTTTTTTTTTTTTTTTGCTCAGTCGTGGGGCCTGAACTCTGGGCCTGGGTGCTGTCCCTCAGCTCTTCAGCTCCCACTTCCGGCTTTTTCTGCTTATGTGGTACTAAGGAATCGAACCCAGGACCTCATGCATGCAAGGCAAACACTCTACCACTGAGCCACCTTCCCAGACCTCACCAAACTCTTAATATTAACATAATTTTTCTTTCTTCATTGAGAACATAGACCTATTTCCCTGAAGAAAACATTTCACAGCTTCTCTTTGGCATATACTTATGCATTGGAATCATAGTTTTGTAAAATGGGTGCTGTTTTGAGTCGGGGATCCAGCAGTCAAGCTGATAAACAGGGCAGCTATGAAGTGACAGTGTACCCAGGGAGGACATAGCAAAGAGGTGACTCCTTGTCTGGGGCGGGGGGAAGGGCAGTGTAAGAATTCATCAAAATGGTGCTCAAAACTTGTACATCGTTTATTTATGGAATTTTCCACTTAATTTTTTGGGACAGCAGTTGGCCATAGCTAACTAACCTGAGAAAGCAAAACTTGAGTTATGGAGGGGAGTGAAAACAACTTGAATATAGCAATGTTTGGAAGGTAGCCATGGCAACAACAAAACCATCTCAACCACGGCTCATCCATAGGCTATACAAATGAGCCCCCCCGCCCCCCCGCGAAGGCCTCACAGGTGAAAGGTGTAAAAATTTCCCAGGCAAAACAATTACTTCCCTCAGCCTCTACTGCCCTAGTGACAAGTCCAGTTCTCAACTTCTGAGCCAAAAATCTGTGTAACTATAATCCCTCTGTACATCAACTCTATAAGAATAAATTATTAAAAAACAAAAAGCTGAGAGCCATGGTTCAAATGGTAGGGCACTAGCATTGAATAATAACGTTCAGGAACAGTACCCAAGCCCTGAGTTCAAGCCTCAGGACCAGCACCAAAAAACAAAAGCCAGGAAGCAACAAGAGCATATAGCAAGGCAGTGATGTACTGCCTCCTAGTGGTGCCCTCCTCCTAGGGAGAAAGGCCATGGGAAACAGACACAGGCTGTGCCAGGGCACAGCTGTGGTGGTGGACATATACACAACACAGAGTAGATTCCAATGTGTATAAACAAAAACAAAAATTACCTATACCCCAAGTTATAAAGTGGTAAAACACAAAGGACACCTGATAACAATGGATGTATATAGACTGGTTTTCTTTTGCTTTTGCCTATTTTCCAGATTTTACAATATGGGCCAAACTGTTCTTACATTTTTAAAATAGCAAGGCAACCTCATTATTAGTCAGTGCTCCAGGAAGAACTATGCGACTCAGTTTCTCTTCCCCAATCTGTCTGCACTGGGAAGAGCTTTGGAAGACTGTGAATGTGCAGGAGCTACAAATGGGTCTCAGTAGGTGGTCCAGATGGCTTAAATTCAAGGTATTTCTACACATTAGAAATTACATGCATGTGCCACCACAATTGGCTCAGAAAAACTTTAACTGTCTTAACCACTGGTATTTTAACAAATGTTATTGTTTCATTTACTGACAAGATACCTGCTAAAATCCAGAATCATGAATTAAATCAACTTTCTAAACTGTCAAATTAAAAAATTAAAAGGTAAAGACATGCTATTTATATCTTTCTCCTAACACAGTACTTAGTACTACAATTTCAAATTAAAGTAGTAAGTGACAATAACTTACCTTGCTTTCTTTTTAGTTGAGGACAGCAGTTTGATGGACTGAAGGAGAAGGAATGAAAGTCGAGATTCAAATATACTGAGGAGCTTTGTCACCTCCTCTCGATTAAGTCCAGGAGAAGAATCAGCAGCTGGAGCAGTCCCTCCATCCTTAGGCTAAGAACAGCAGAGTGTTAGAGAGAGAGAGAGAGAGAGAGAGAGTGTTTTCCCATAAATGTGCCATCATATCCCCTCCCTCCCTCCTTCCCACCCTCCTCTCCAGTGCAGAGTGTTACTTCGTGTGTGTGTGTGTGTGTGTGTGTGTGTGCATTCCCATAAATATGTGCCATCATATCCCCTCCCTCCCACCCTCCTCTCCTCTTCCTCCTCACCCCCTCACCTGGTCAAACTCCTCCATGAGCTCCTTCTGGATGAGCTGGAATGCATGTTCAGTTCTCACCATGATGTCAAGAGCTCCAGACAATGTTTTTAACTTCCCAACATTGCTATTCTGACCTGAAGTGTTAAATACAAAGTGATCACGCCTTTACCTACAAATCTAGAAACTCATATCAATGTTAAAGATTTTCAAGTACTAAAAGAATAGCTCATGGGAATCCCAACAAATCTGTATAAGCTTCAGTTGACTAATTTTCCCTTGAAAAACATTAAGTTGTAAGTAAGCAATAACAAATAACTTTCAAGTATGTGAACGATAATGTGGTGGCAGGGGTAATAATGCTTCTCTGCTTCATTGCTTGGCTGCTCAGAACAGCAGCCAGGGAGTAGATACACTGGGCTAAAGAGGACACCTGAGAGGAGTCTGATTTGACTCCACCTACTAACTACCAGATGTGTGTGTTGGTCACACCACTTAGCTCTTACTATTGGTTGTCCCACTGGAAAAAAAGTATAGAATCTTTCCGGTTAAAGTAAGAAGCTGACTAGATGAACTGCCTTCATGTTAATCTCAGGCCTTCTGAATAAAACTTTTCTACCCTATGAGATGATACAAAGCACCTCTGCCCCAGTCCTTCTGGAGCTGACACTGGCAGTGGAGGACTGGTGTGCAATCTTCACCAGAGAGGCCTGGCCTTTGTTGGTGGCTTCCAGAGGGAGATGGCTAAGGCTCTGGAATGTGCTGTGTGATCAGAGTATCTTTGTTTATTTACCTGGGAGCCCTGGACAAGGTGGATACTCTAGGAAATAATTTACTGTTGGGGTTCTCCAGAGAGGCTGAAGTCTAAGTGGGCCATGCAGTTGCTACCAAACTCCAATAAAAAACAAGACAGGGTGATCTTCCAGGCTGGTGGCTGCCGTGGGTGCCACTGTGTGCACTCAGTGCTGTTCCTCCTCTGAGAGGATAACGGCAGCTCCAGGCCTACAACTCTCCTGCACTCTGTTCCTGGAACCTTTTCCTGTAAGAAGCCACAACTAAGAGCAGCTTTCAGTGAATTCTGTGAATCCTAGTGAATTGTCAATCCAAGGAGGGTCTTAAGACCCTTCAAGCTTGCAGTTGGTATCAGAAGTAAGAGTAGCCTAGGGAACAATCCCCTGCCTTCCTCATTCACAGCACAACCGTAACTCTCAAAATAATGTGCTATCAGTGGGGTGCCAATGACCTGTAACCCCAGCTACTCAGGAGGCTGAGATATGAGGATTGTGCCAGTCAAGGCAGGAAAGTCTGTGAGACTCTCATCTCCAATAAACCACCAGAAAACCAAAAGTGGTGCTATGGCTTAAAGTGGCAGAGTGCTAGTCTTGAGCAAAAAAATCAGTGTCAGTGTCCAGGCCCAGAATTCAAGCCCCATGACTGACAAAAATAGCAACAATAATGTACTATCTTTAAAATCAATGCCAAAGGTAACAGTGCTCGGTAGAAAATGTAACTCAATACCTTACTCATGTATCTTTACAATAAATTTTTTTTTTAAAATCAATTGGTAAGTAACTGGAGGTGTGTGGCTCAAATAGTAGAGCATCAGCCATGAGCAATAGAGCTGAGAGCCCAAGACCAAGTCTTGGGCTCAGTACTACACAAAAATAAGTAAATACATAATTTAATGTAGTTGGGGGCGCTTGGGCGTCAAGCTGTTGATTATGTGCAGAATTATCATTGAGACAGGGAGCCAACATTATGAAAACAAATGCGAGTCACTATGTACGAGAAAAAAATACTGGCAGCCGGGCGCCGGTGGCTCACGCCTGTCATCCTAGCTTCTCAGGAGGCTGAGAGCTGAGGATCACGGTTCAAAGCCAGCCGGGACAGAAAAGTCCATGAGACTCTCATCTCCAATAAACCACTAGAAAACTGGAAGTGGTGCTGTAGTTTAAGCGGTAGAGTGCTCGCCTTGAGCTGAAGAACTGAGGGACAGCGCCCAAGCCCAGAGTTCAAGCCCCACGACCGACAAAAAAAGAAAAAAGTACTGGGTAAAATAAGATGAAATGGATGGTTATAAACTACAATATTTATCATCATAGCTTACAAACTACAATACTTACTGTTTTCCTAAAGTATTCATAGTATTAAAATGTTCTTCCTCCCCCGCCCCCGCCCCCACCCCACCAAGTCCTGGGGCTTGAATTTAGGGCCTGGGCACTGTCCCTGAATTTTTTTGCTCAAGGCTAGTATTCTACCACTTGAGCCACAGCTCCATTTCCTGCTCTTGGCCCAGGCTAGCTTTGAATTGCAATCTTCAGATCTCAGTCTCCTGAGAAGCTAGGATTACACATGAACCATCAACACACAGTATATGAAAATGTGTTTAGTAACACTTACTCTGTTTTCTAATTAGAAAATACACAGTAATTTTCTTAAAATTATGAAAAAAGGCACTAACAAGGAAATGAAAATTTCATCATCCATAAATAACTAGATATAATTTTAGTATGTGTATTTCTACAGTTTCTATGGTTAGCTAGAATTCAAACACATCCAAAGATTCCAAGATTTCCACTTCCTCCAGAGAGAGGCTGCATATCTTCCCTACATTGGCCAAAACATCAACAGAAATAACTTGAATAAAAAGCACTTCTAGGAACTACTATATTCCCATTTACAATGTCCAAATGGACACACAGTAAAACAACCCTCCGGCCTCCCTGTCAGCAATGTACTCAGTACATGCCCAGGGTTGAGATCAAGTATTGGAGTTCTCTGGATGTCGGAATATTTGCATAGATTTTAGATTTTATGGGTTGAGCACCCTACTCAAAAACAAATTTACTACAAGAAAAACAGTAAATTGCCATGCTTCTAATAATTGTTTATCATTCAAAAAATCCTTTTCCAAAGACAGCAATGCAGGAAGGGAGCCATGCGCAAGAGCTAGAAGAGGGGCCTAGGTCCCAAGCATCAGAACACCACACGGCGCCTGCCCTGGAAGCAGGTGACAGACACCAGGAGACACTCTCTCTGTCACCCTTCCCTGGCTCCCACCCTGAGTTCGGTCAGTAGGACTGTATGGCAGTGTCTTCTCAGACCACAGCCAAAGCTGCTTTGGCTCCCTGTCCTGAGAATCAGTGGGGACCACCACTCCATTACTGCTGCGTCTCTACCCCCAAGGTTTCGTGCTGATTGAACCCTGCAAATGACTAAAATGATTCTTTAAGTTTAAAAAGCACTTCTAAAAACGTAGCACTTCTAAAAACTACCAAAGTCCTAATGGGGAAACTAAGGAGAAAACAGAATCATTTCTACCCTGGAATGAAAACTCAAGACTTACTGGTCATCTGAAACTCTGCAAACGCCACCCTCTCCAGCTGCACTCTGAGCAGTTCACACGGGGCATCCCTGAGAAGCAGAAAAAGCTTTACTGCTTTGCTGTAATGCAGCTCTGCCAAGGCACGGTGCTGCTTCCTGAGATGTTCATCGCCAACCTAGAACCAAAAAGTAAAGACTTAAAAATCCTAAGGCTAGGATTTCATAATAACTAACAATGCTTTTTAGTTTTGCTTTTTCTTCTACAAGTCTTATTGTTTCAGCTCTTATATTTAGTTTTTAATCCATTTTTTAGTTTTTTGGTTTATGTCCCCTTTTGCAATGCTGAGATGGACCCCAGGGGCTGCAAAAGTGGGTAGGTAAGCGCCTGGCCCCTGAGCCACATTCCAGCTTCAGTGTTCGGTTAACTTGGTCTGTGATGGGAGGCAGGAGCCCGCCTCTGCTCCCCTGTGTGCAGCTATCTACCCGTCCCAGCATTTGCTGAACTTCCTGGGAGCCCCATGCATGCTTCTGCTGGAGGAAACAAATATGAAGAGTGGCTGAGGGGCTTCCCTGACAAGGGGAAGCTCTGGTTGAGCACCCTCCTCTGGCCAAGTGAAGACATCCTTCCCAGGAAAACGATGACCTCAAAGGACAACACTCCCAGGATAAAGGCAACCCAGAAGGAAATCAAACCCAAAGGATGGTAAGGTATCTTTGGTATTGGGCCAAGAAAGAGGGAAAAACAACCAATCTGAAGCCATCATCGAGAAACCAAACTCAAGTGCACAGTAAAAGCCAAGCACCTTTACACTGTACACATATTCCATCTATGCATGCTCCAGGGAGACTCTTAAAAGCTGCACAGACCTGCTCCTTACAAGACCTAACTAGATGTAAACACACACACACACACACATATATAATGCAACCAGGCAGATCTGTAATTTTCAAACTAAAACCCAATCAACTGCCATACGTTGAGAACAACGTATGGCACAAAGGAGAAAACTACCTACAAGATGTTCAATAGCTGATTTTAGCTAACTGGAACAGATGGCATTTAAACTGACATGGACATGTCGGGAAGTGTGCGTAACCCTCAGACAATCTGGTCCCGACTCTGTCTGGGAATGGCTGTACCTGGTTCCTTAGACAGCTGTGGTACATGGAAGCCAGCCTGTGGTGGATGGTTGCAGCTCGATACTGACAGAGAGGCTGACGGGCAGACACAGAGTCAATGTCACAGTATTTCAAGGACTTCATCATAGCCTCACTGACTTCTTTCTCAATCTGTGTTTTATTCAAAGGGGAAGAAAGAAAATGACAGGCTCATAGTCTGACCATAAGAACTTTTACAATGTTAAACTTTTGCTGGTTAAAGACAATGAAACTTAAATATGGCAAAGGCTCATTTAGAATTCAGCAAATCCTGTCACCTGCTCCTGAGCTTTTCTGGACAACGGTGCATAATCTTGCTGCAGAGTGGCCATGGTAAAGTATGTAGTAGATAACTCCCAGTTCACAGAATCCCAAACAGCTGGGTGTGTGTCTCGTGTTCCCAAAGACCTCAGAGCTTTCAAATAGTAATCAACAGCCTGCCATGGAAGAAAAGGTGTAACTCTGTAACTCAATGCCACATTAAATCAATTCATACCTCAAACACCACCCAGGTATCAATTTAATTTTAGGAGAATTTATAAAAGTTAATACGATGAGGGGCTGGGAAGGTGGCTCAGTGGTAGAGCGCTTGCCTTGCATGCATGAGGCCCTGGGTTCGATTCCTCAGCACCACATAAGCAGAAAAAAAAAAGCAAAAACTGGAAGTGGCATTGTGGCTCAAGTCGTAGAGCACTAGCCTTGAGCTGAAGAGCTGAGGGACAGCGACCAGGCCCAGAGTTCAGGCCCACAATCGGACCCCCCCCCAAAAAAAAGTTAATATGATGAATGAGGGCAGGTAATCAATATTTTAATCAAAGAAGTTATCCAGAAGCTGGAAGTGTAGCTCGACTGACAGAATTCTAAGGCAATGAACAAAGGCATGAGGTAACAAGTTCAAGTTCCAGCCACCTAAAAAAAAAAGAAAAAGGGAAAGAAGAGAAAACTATCCAAACTAGACCAACTACCACTGTCTCTCTGAGTCTATCCTTGGTGTTACGTTTTGACTTAGGTTAGCACATGAGAACACTAAAAAATATTTTACATGTTACAGTCTATTTAATTAGTAAACTAAAAAAATTTTTTTCCCGAGACTAACTGCAAAAAGTGAGCCTCTTCACCCTGTGCCATTGTTATCTTCATGTACAGGGCACTCTGTACACAAACACCACCACAATGCGTGTCACTGCCCAGGGGGGCTCTGCATTCCTGGAGTGTGCTTATTCTTTCTCCTAAGTATACATAAAGCTTGAAAACAAAAACAAGTCAGTCACTTTTACTATCAAGTTTGTGGTGCATGAACATTCTCCATAAATATCACTTGAATAGTGAAAATATTAAGTGCTCATTTTTTGTACTTTCGCTGACAAATGGATGTTACCATTTGGCAAAAAACCAGGTAGTAATGAGTAAGAGAAACTTGAATTTTAAACTGACTGTTAAGAAACAGGATAAATATATCAATGTAGATTATTTGCAACTATAAAAATAAGGAAAACTTGGGCTGGGAAGGTGGCTCAGTGGTAGAGCACTTGCCTTGCATGCCTGAGGCCCTGGGTTCCATTCCTCAGCACCACATAAGAAAAAAGCCGGAAGTGGCGCTGTGGCTCAAGTGGTAGAGTGCTAGCCTTGAGCTGAAGAGCTGAGGGACAGTGCCCAGGCCCAGAGTTCAGGCCCCACAACCAGACCCAAAAAAAAAAAAACAAAACAAAAATAAGGAAAACTGCTGGAATTGTTTTGGGAAGGGAGAGAGAAGGAGATAGAGGGAGACTGGAATACACTGTAAACATATGTAGAAATGTAACAATGAAATCCCACTTATAACTAACGCAAGCTAGCAAAAATCCTTTTAAAAAGTACTTAAAATTTAAAAATAAAAATAAAGTTGAAATTTTGAGGGTTTTTGTGTGGGTGTGTGCTGGTCCTGGGGCTTGAACTCAGGGCCTGGGTACTGTCCCTAAGCTTTTATGCTCAAGGCTAGTGTTCTACCACTTGAGACACCGGCTCCACTTCTGGCTTTTTGGGTGGTTAACTGGAGGTAAGAGTCTCATGGAACTTTCTTGCCTGGGTTGGTTTCGCACTGTGACCCTCAGATTCAGCTTCCTAAGAAGCAGGGTCACAGGTGTGAGCCACTGGTGCCCAGCTTTGAGGTTTTTCAAAAATAAACACATTAACCATTTATTCTTCTCACACATATGACGTTTCTTCAAAGTTATTTGTCTTTTTTCTGCTGTGGTGCCTTATTTTCATTGGTTCTTCATTCTCCCTTATGTCAAAGATGTGCTGACCTCTGCTCTGGCCCATTCTCTATAGGAGCTTTTTCTAGAATGCCGTTGGCTTTCATTTTACCTTCTGTCACATATTTCTGCTCTTCCTCTCTCCCTGATCTCCCTGGCTGCCACGCAGAGCACAGACCTTCCACAGTCCAGAGCCCCAGGTGCTCCTACTTGTGGTCCTTCTGGTGTTTTCGGTTTCTACTCCTGGTCAATCGTTAATCCAGTGGACATGCACTCCAGTTGTACCAATACAATTTATGGAATCATCTTTTTGCCAAACGATTCAGTATGCCATTCTCAATACCAGTTTCTTGCTATACCTAAGCCAGTTTCTAAGTGTGGTAACGACCTGCCTGGTCCTGTGGACTGTACAGCATTTTGTAGAACAGTGACCAAGCAGAAACACATGACAGGAGAATGGGTGAGGCAGCCTGACTAGGAGCAAATGTGTTACCTTGTTGTAATACAAGCCCTCTTCTGGAGAAAATTCACGTTTGAGTTCATCCCCCGCGCCACAGTGTGCCTGTGCACAAATTCGCATGAGTCTTCCCGTGTTACACAACAGAAGGGCAGCATTTGTGGCATCATCAATCGACTCAAAGTTGTGAATTCCCTTTTCAAAACAAGAAAAGCTTTTTTTCCACAACTGTTGCTCTGCAGCAGACACAGATTTGCTCACTTCACAAAGAAAGAAAGAAAACAGTTGCATAAGCAGACATCAGCGTGAACACCACTGTCTCAATGCAACAATGAGAGGCGCACAGGTGATGGGAGCCTGGGGGAGGATCAGCCTCCTGAGGTGAACTGCAGCATGCTACCCTCAACACCTGCTGCTCTGGGAAGCGTCCTCTCATTCATTAGCTGAACTTGACTGCATTTGGGGTGAGCGAGATCTTTAAAAAGGAATCAGGATTAAAGGTCATTAAAAGTGACCCCTATCCAATAGGACCAGTGTGCCTATAGAAGGCAGAATGACACAAGGGGAAAGAAAGGGCCATATAGACTCAGGAAAAGAGTGGCTGTCTGCAAATCAAGGAAAAGGCCCAAAGCATGCAGTCTCACTTGCCTCTGTATCTTTCAGCTTTTACAACTGTGAGACAAGCACTTCAAGTGACCCATCACTGTATTTCATTACAGTAGCCCGAGTAGACTAATGCAACATAATCATCTCATCCCCGTAAAGACATTGGAAGCAAAGCACTACTCTGTAAAGATTCAAAAGCTGTGGTCCCATAGGTTTAGGAGTCTACAGTCCTGTGTTTTACTCAGTTCTCCTGGGCATTTTTTTTCCTTGCCAGTCCTGGGGCTTGAACTCTGGGCCTGGGCACTGTCCCTGGGGTCCTTTTTGCATTCCACCACTTGAACTACAGTACCACTTCTGGCCTTTTCTGTGCTTAATTGGAGATGAGTCTCACAGACTTTCCTGCCCAGGCTGGCTTTGAACCGGGATCCTCTAATCTCAGCCTCCTGAGTAGCTAGGACTATAGGCGTGAGCCACCGGTGCCCAGCTTCTCCCGGGCTCTTGACTGTCACTTCTCATGCCTCTTTGCTGACCTCCTCCTCTGAATGTCCCTCAAACACACAGGGTCTCCTACCAGCAAGACCTTTCAGGGGCACTCCTTGTACCCCAAGGGCCAAGCAGTGTTTGCAGCTTGGCAGGCATGTGTTCAACTTACCGTTGCCCTCAGTTCCAGTACAGCTCCCTCCCTCCTCACAGTGCCCAGCCTTTAGCTTTAGCTACCACCCCTATGGGAATGGTTCTTAGCCCTAATAGCTCTAAGCACAGTTCCTATCAACTACTAAACCAGCCCTTTCACATACCTTTCAAACCCAGCAAGGTCCATCTGACCCACTCCCCCACCCTGCCTGCTTTGAAGGAGGCCTCTGGTGACCAGGTCAGCATGCACTAGACTCCTTCCCAGGCCCTTCTTGTAGTGCCCTCTCAGTCTCCAGCTCTCCTTCCCTTCAATTTCCTGCCGAGATCCTACACACCACACACCTGTTATATATTGAACAGAGAGTCTGAAACATGGCTAGCTGCCCCAGTTCCTTCTGTATTGGCCAGCTAATGTAATGTACAAAGGTGGGCATGGAAGACATCTTTTAATAACATACAATTGAATGCCACAGGTCTTTGGTTGACTCACAAAGAGTCAGTATGACTTCCTAATAAAATTTAATAAAAAGAATAATTGAGACACTTACCCATTCTCTCACTCTGTACTGCAGCAGCTTGATTCATATAAAACACACCAATTTCATTTCTAATGTTACCCATTCTCTTCAATACTTGTACATAGTGCTCTGGATTCTGGCTTTTTAAGTCACTAAATTGCAAGATTTCATTAGCAGCCTCATAGCATTTACAGCTAACTGAGAGTTGACTTTCCAAATCTGTAGACAAGTCAGTTGCCCATGCAAATCCTTAAAAAAGAAACAACAGTCATAAGAACTTTTTTTAGTATCTAAGTAAGCCTGATATTTTACAAAATAGAACATGCAATACAACAAAATTTGTTTTATAATAAAGATGTCTTTGTCGATAAAACTATTTTCTTGAAATATTAATGGATGATAGTACTTTCTTGTTTTATAATTACAAAATATTTTTCATCACCCAGATTTTCTGAGTGTACAGGTATTTACATCAGTAAGGATGTTTTTTTAAATTAACATAAGTCGTTCTCAGAATTAAGTGCCAATGTTAAGTATGAACCACTAAAGACGCTGCTAGCTAAGTCCTCAACAATTTATAAATGCCACCTAGTGAAATGCACCAACTTCAGATCGAACATTCAAGGGGAGGAAGGCACTCCTGCTGCAACCCTCCAATCTGTAAGAAAATGTCAGCTTAACAACAGGCTATATTTTTATTTTTATTTTTTTGTTGGTTGTGGGGCTTGAACTCTGGGGCCTAGGTGCTATCCCTGAGCTCTTCTGCTCAAGGCCAGCGCTCTACCACTTGAACCACAGTGCCACTCCAGTTTTCTGCTGGTTAATTGGAGATAAGAGTCTCACAGACTTTCCTGCCCAGGCTGGCTTTGAACCACGATCTTCAGATCTCAGCCTCCTGAGTAGCTAGGATTACAGGCATGAGCCACCAGCACCCAGTTACAACAGACTATTGACGGGTGGTATACACACACCACAGATTTTCCCAATGTGTCTATTAAAATGAAAAAACTATTTGAGAGAAAGAAAAGGAAGAGCAAAGATATTAGGGAATAATAATTGCCCTCTTCCCCCAGTGTACTACTCTAGTTTTTAACTGTCCAAAGCTTTAGTGGAAGTGAATGCCAACAATTCCCCACATATTTGGAAAGCACATTCTGAAGACTGATACTTTATCTCATGTTACCTGACTGCAGTGTGCTTATGTAACTGTACTGAGCTGAGGCTGCCATTCCTGTGATTAAGTTACCTGCTTCTCAGCATTAAAGCAGAATGATCCAAGACAGCTGGCTGGAACTGACTTAATCTTAGCCCCCTGGGTTTATAATTAATCCACTTTCACCAAATAATTGTCCCTTTTCAAAAGGAAACCTATGGTTTGGTTGGCTAACTAGAGGTACTACTTGACATCACTTCATGAAGAGTATACCAAGGCAAAAACTGGGTCACACTCTTAGTAAGCTACACTTAGTAACTGTATTTAATAAAAACACAGGATCATGCTCAACTTAAAATGAAGAAATGAAACAAAACATCAAGTATCAAAAGACTAACATCTCTGCAACTTCTCATACTCAAATAAGCATGGGATGGGCAGGTAATTCAGCTGTGAGTCAAATGAGGAGTCTGCATACCTTGACAACTGGACTCCCTGTGCAGACTATGCAGGATCTCCTGATCCTCTTTAGTTTGGTAATTGAATTCTTCCAGGTGTGCTGCTCTATTATTTGCATTCTGGGCCAGCATGAGTTGGATATCACCACAGAGTGTCAAATATTGAGACAGGAATAGCAGCACTTCAGAAAGCATATTAGTGCAGAGACAGCAGTAAGTATCTATATAAAAATGGAGAAAAGCCACAAGCACATTAAAACTGAACACGGTAAATATGAAGACAAGGTGAATATGAAATATAAAGACCCACTGAAAACTGCACCAACACATCTACTCCATCTCATGTGCATTAGAGCACATGGCTTAATGTACTTCACAAGACAGACAGGTTAAACCACTGTGAGAAGGAAAGAAAATGCCAGGTAACATATACAAGACTGTTTTAAAGTCAGTTGTACAAGAGGAAAGCCCTGTGGCTCTCATGTCTCTTCCTCCAAGCCAATACTCACTGCAGTAGCTTACCGTGGCTCTGCAACGCCAGCTTGATGTATCGCAGCGCTCTACCATACTTCTGGAGACTCATGGCAGCGTCAGACAGGATGTAATAGGCTTTAGATGACTTGAGAATCAGCTGAAGCTTCATTTTATGTTGCCAAGAACCAGGTATCATTCCAGATTGACTGGAACAATTACCCTTCTGAAGAGAGCCCACTGTGACATAGGAAGGAAAAGACAGCATCTGTTCAAATCTAAGTGTTAACAAAATATTACTTCATCTTCTTTTAAGGGACTTTGCATTTGTTTGGCTTGTTTGTAGGCTGGCACGCTACCACCTCAGCCATGCCTCCAGCCAATCTCTTTTTCGTTTTTTTTTCTAGTTAATTAGGAAATAGTCTTGCAGACTTTTCTGCCCAGGCTTCAAATCAAGCTCCTCAGATTTCAACGTCCTGAGTAACTAGGATTACAGGTGTGAACCTCTGGCACCCACCTCTATTGCCTATTTCTTGATAGAATCATTCCAGGCTCAGGCGTTACGGCCACACTTGAGCTAGTAAACACCATGCTTTCTTTTCTGACTTAAGACAGACTAAAACACTCATGTACAAACAGACTATTGCTTGGGAGTTCCAAGGCTTTCCATTTCGCTGTAGTCCACAACTCTGTAACTTCCTTCTAGGGTTACTGGCAGTTCAATTCATCTGTGTCTCCTTTTTCCAGTTTCCAAATCAACCCACCAAGTAGTGTGCATCCCCCAACCAGTCTTAACCTTGGTCAACCTAACCTCAGACAATGAAACAGCTTCTAACCAGTTGTTGAATATATGCATCTTTCTAAGCTATGTGTTTTCACTCTACTACTCAACCCCTACTGCTGATCAGCCAAAGGCAAATTTTCACGTTTCCTATAAAGATGCCTGCTTTCTCCTACCTCATAGTCACTTATCATTTTCCCTACCAGGAACACTTTCCTCCAAGTCCAACCTACCCCTCTTCATTCCAGAGGACTACTTGTCAACCACGGACACAAGGACAGGAAGAACCTTGATATATACCACACCAATAGAGAAAAAAGCTGTGGAACAAAGAACATTTCTGGCCTTAAGATGTCCATTTTTTTGTTTCTGAAGCAGGGTTATTTGGCCTCAGCTGCTTTGAACTCTCCTTTCTCCAGACTCAGCCCCCTGAATGCTGAGAATATAGGGATGTTCCACCATGCCTATCAATTTCTCATTTTTTTTAATCAACTAGACCCATATTCTTTCAAACAACAAACAAAACTCTTAGGCACTATGATGATTTATAATTTGTGCATGTATTTCTTTTTCCTATGCTGCTGTAAGTGTGTGGGGCATTATGAAAAAAGTCAAAGATGAATAGGATGAAGGTCTTGCCTGCAAGTGTACACATGTGTTTGGAACTGTTTCATAAAAGTGACCAGAACATAAGGCTAGCTTCAGAATGTGCTCATAGCACTGGGAATGAAATTCAGTAATTCTGACCAAGGATAAAGGTGATTGTGGAGAATATGAACTTGAACAGGATTTTCAATAAAGGAGAGGAGAGAGACAAAATCCTGGTGTGGTTCATCTCACTGCATGTTAAGACTGGCAGGCAAACAGCAATACCTAAGTGCGGGGATATAAACCTGCACCTCCACCGCACAAAAAGAAAAGTCCAGGGAGCACTTGGTGTTAAAACACACAGACTTTCAAAACATTAAAAACTGAACTGATTAAAAGAGGAAAGGGGACCCGCTAGATTACTGAGATGTCACATTTGTAGCTGTTTAACTGTGAGGTAACAAGAGCCCACACTTCTTGTGTTCTTAAGTTCTTAACACTTTGCCTAAATTAACCATTTGTATGTTTGAACAGCATTTAAGGTAGTTACTTAACTGCCTCCAGTTTGAGAGGGAAAAGGCAGTTCAACAAAGAGCTTGAGCCTTGCCCTAGCAAAGACAAGGACTGAAGCTGTCGGCCTGGTTCCAAATTCTATGCTCTCAAGTCCTCTCCACATTCACCAACACAGCAACCTTTCAGCACTCTACCAGGCTGAAGGCATTTGTTTCTTACAGTGGGAAGTAGAAAGAAACACGAAGGTTCCTTATGTTATTAGATAAATCTATTGAAGATCCAAATTATCCCATTCTGATTTATTTTCCAAATGAAAAACTATGTCACTCTACTTCTTGTTCACATGGTATCTTTTATTTCCTCCCAATTCTTTGCAATGAATGCCTTGACATAAGTCTACTTGCTGATAAATGGGTCCGTACATGATTCTATTGAAGGCCTTATTTGCACATCAATTCAACTTACTTTTGTCTAAAAACAAGGCCATCTGCTTCTCTAACCCTTCAGGGCCTCCTCTTGCAGATTCGTCCTCATATTTTAAGGGGATTGGGGTGCTGGGGTCAGCCGCAGGAAGGTCACTTTCTTTTTTGATGCTGCTATCTACAGATTTTAAACCCTTTTAAAAAATTTAAAAAATGAAAAATTATTACCACTTGCTTAAACATTTACTATATATTTTTACATCCTTTTAGAAAGGGGGGAAAACACTCATTATGCATTACTACGAGTCAAATGAAACTACATAAAAGGCAAAAATCTCTAAAAATTTACAAATAATCTTAAAGATTTGAGTAAAAATGATCTGGTCACAGTTAGACTTAAAAAAAGAATCATAGCAAAACAGCATTCAGATTAACAATGAGACACCAACAAATGAATGCTACTTGTAGATCAAATACAAACTTGACTGAACAGGTAAAGACTAAACTTAACACTTACCTCCAGAACATAACTAAGGACAAGTCTACAGCGTTCTTCTGTGTCATGGCAAACTGGAAACGCACAACTGGGCTTCAGAAACAAACAATTACAAGTATTAACATGCTATCAATCCAACAAATCTCATGGCTCTCATCACTTGGCAATTACTAAAACACTCTGAACCAGTAACTTAAAAATGAACTTCTGCACTTAGCTTGGTGAAGTTATCTCATCTGAGGCTACTGTATTTTGTTAAATATCAACAAAAATCTTAAGATCCCCCAGTAGGTATTGCCTAAAGTACTTAATATTCTAAAAATAATTCTATGAAGGAAAGGCAAGCACAAGAGTAGTTTTAGATAAATGCATACTAAATCTAGTAGATCAGCTCAACTCCTAATTAGCATGCGTACCTAAGGGCACACAGTGAACAATACTGTCAATTTAGTAGTAGGTTAACAAGTACCAACCATCACCCAAAGTCTTATTGTGTAATACATTTGCTTAATTAAGAAGCAAGGCCAATTAACAGCCTCAACTACTACTAAGTGACATTATATGTAAGGGCCCCTGGGAAACATTTTATATTGTTGATTCTGGGAGGCTGGAATTACTACCAGTCTTTCACAGAGAAGCCTATTCAAATGGCTGAGGAATTTATGGGCGGACAAAGTGAGTAAACAGAAGTGGGGACCCTGGTGTCCACACTCACTACCTCACTTTCATACTACACAAACAAGCAGAGCTAGCTAGGACATGTTTCTATGAATGCCATGAGCACATTGTTTATGTGCCTCAGATATCACATGAAGGGCTGTCTTTGCAGAACAGTGCTATTGACAGACCATGACATCTTTAATCATCATCTATTTGTCCTGTTAAGTCCAGGGTCTTGTTAGCAATCAGTAACGACAACAACTACAAAAAACTTCTAGTCCGCTATGTGTTCTAGATATAGGAAGTAGAGTTTACACTCTAGCCAAGGAAGACAAACACACACAACAATGAGAATATCAGGATCAAACAGCTCTGAGAAAAAGGTAACAACAGAGTGTGCTTTGGTTAGAGTGGCCAGCAAATGTTTCCGAGCAGACATTTTAGCCATGATGTTAGGCCTAGAAAAAGGCAGCTATGAACAAATTAGGAGAGGTATGCTCCCAACAGAATCAAGAGTAAATGTTGTTGGAACAAAAAAGCCAATGTCACTGTGGTGTTTTGTTTTTGTTTTTTTTTAAAAAAGAGGAAAGTTAAGGAAAAGAAGGGCAGAAAGATAGGCAATATTTTAGGGTAACACTTGATACAAGTTTTCACCTGTTAAATTCAGACCCTGTTATGGCCTCATGTTAGTCACTGGAAAGGACTACTGACACAAACAAACTTGAATAAAGTGGACAGGATAACGCACGACAATTCTATTCCACCGTGGAGTGAATTTTAAAACCAGGCTTTAGAATTCAGAATACTAACAATGATCAGACCCTGAACCACAAAAGTCTTACTGAAGTAATGCCATGTTTTGAGTGCATTCAAACAGCAATTGTCTTGTTTTCTATTGATAAAACCTTAATGCAAATTCTAACATGCTCACTCTGATCTGATGAATGGACTTGTACTTTTCTGGTACCGACAATTCTCCAACAGACTTAATTATTGCCACTGCTTTGTTATCATCTGGTGGATCAGAGCTGGCACTATAGGATCCATTTTCATCACTGTCGGGCAACTCCTCCTCCTCTTCACTGTAGCTTTCATCAGAATTCTCATTTAAAGGAGATTCTGAACTTTCTTCCTTTTTAGGTTCATCCAGTTGAAAAAGCTCTGAAAGCATGTAATTGGCTGAAGCAATAATCTTACAGAAAGAAAAAAAAAAAAGTAAGCAATTGCAATCAAAACTGTCTCATCACCAAAAGAGGAATGACACCATACTAAGTTTTAGGACAAGGTTTGAAACAGGCTGTTTTTACTACACAGATTTTAATATACACTGAATGTTCTCAACTCAAAGTTACAAGCCATCTGGGGAGGCTCTGTGAAATCCTCCTGGGTTGGGCAGTTTTCTTATTTCAGAAATTTTTCACCCTTAGCATACCTTCTGAAAAAAGGTAGATATTGTATTTCACTGTATGTGTTTAATATGTAACTAACATAAAATCTACAGTTCTAGGAGGAAACAAGACACTAGATTTGAAGTTCTACCCTGATAGTTTAAAATCAATCATTTTTTTTATTCTCAGCTAGACACTCACCAATCAGAATTCAGATTCTAACTTTCACATCATCCATTCAAGAACCACTAAAAGTCCACCTCTAAGAACAATTAAGATATTTAAGTCAAAAATGGACCTTTCTTACCTATTTTTTCCCTCCTCTGGTTAGGAATCAACCCAGGGTGTCATTCATGCACACAGACAAGTGCTCTGCCCTGTGAGCTAACCCCCAATCTTCTCCAGAATAATCTTTATCTCCCAACGGGATGCAGCTACAATTAAAATTAATTTGGACCTTTTTGTGTGTTAGTCCTAGGGCTTGAACTCAAGGCCTGGGAGCTTTCCCTTAGCTTTTGTGTATAAAGCTAGCACTTTACCACTTGAACCAGAGCTCCACTTCCAGATTTTTGGTTGTTAACTGAAGAATCTCACGAACTTTCTTGCCTGGGCTGGCTTTGACCTGTGATCCTCAGACCTCAACCTCCTGAGGAGCTAGAGTTAGTTATGAGCTACTGACACCCAACTTTAATTTGTACTTTTAAAGGAAAGTGCATACTCAAATCCTCTCTGTTTTTCATCCAATGAAAAACAGAGTTGTCAAATTCAGGCAACTGAGGGCACAAGTGGTAAGACTATAGCAAGCATGCCTAAGAGGGTGCTTGACAACATGCTTGAATGTACTGACGTATGGAAAGTGAACCTTACAACGACAGCCTGGTCTGCCTGTGTAAAGAGCTTTTAAAAGATGCAAGTTTTCATCTTCTATAAGTGATAAAACAAAAACATTACTGAAAGCATTACATGAATCCTAAATTAATAAAACTAAGTTTATTCTAGAGATATGTGAGCCACATACAAAACTCTACTATATGTAACATATGCAGTTTCTGTATCTCCTAAAATTCAGCATGTACTTCATACGGACAGCACAGTTCAGAGCAGTCAGTGCTCAGCAGCCCCCATGCTGAGTAGGGCAGGTAGGGAACTTTATGTCCAGGCCACAGTTCTCTATCAGAGTACAAGATCTGTGTTAGAGAACATAATATATAAAATGTTGACCTTACCTGAGGATGTCTGCTTTTGTCCAGCAACTTAACACAATTGAGCAGCAATGTTCTGATGGTACCATAGTGCTTCTTGTTTTGATTTTTCTTCATCATCATGTTACAAGCAACCCTGAAAGGAATGTTTGTATCACATTTACTCCCCATTCAACATTCTCTGCATGACTCAGGCTAGACACCCTTTATCTTTTCAATAGAACAGGGCTATAAGAAAAACTAGATACTGTATTTTTACCCACTCAAAGCTTATAAAAATTTATTTGGTACAATGTTAGATCAGTCAGTGTGTCTCCCGGTCCCTCCCTTTCCATACCATCCTCTTATTTCATTAGGAAAGTATTCAAAGTATTTTAAGGCCGTGGCTCCGATAAAAGGTTTTACATGAGGCTATGTCCTCATTTCTGAAGGTACTCACTTATACAGGAGAACAGCCACCGGCATGGTGAACGGGTTCTGGTATTTGTCTTCGGTCTCTTCACAGAGAGTGGTGAGGTCATACAGCTTTACTATGTCACTGCCACTTGCTGAGAAGAGAAAAATCTCATGTTACAGCTGTCAACCCAAATCAACTACTGTCCATTCAAGCATCAGCTTACCTTTGAAGAGCCAATATGTATGTCCTTCTTTGGTACAATTAGATTTCAGAAATGACAAAATATTCTGTGCAATGTCTTTTATGACTTTAGTAGAAAAATTAGAGTTTTCCAAATTGGGAATTTCTTCTGTCTTTATCATTTCGTATTTCTACAAAGAAATAAATTTTGAACAGAGAATACATAATACACTGATTAAATATATTATCAACAGTAAATTTATAAAATTTCACTTTAACATAGCTACTAGAAAATTAGCCCCATCTTCTCTAACAGTTGTACCTGCAGAAGGTTCACTGGACATTTTTATGATTTGCCCATGTGACCAAATCCCATTTACCTTCCCTGCCTAAACCAATTCAATGTACCTACTTCCTGAAAATATAGATCTAAGATCCCACTGATCCTAGAACACTGGGAGCTCAAGCAAGTGTATTTTACAAGCCTTAGGTGACTGTGGAGGTACACACTTATACTCTCAGTTACTCGGGAGGTGAGGGCAGGAAAATCAGGAGTTAAAAGGTCTATATAGGCAGTTGGCAAGACCCTATGCCTCAACAACATAAAAAAGAAGGCTGGGTGTAACTCAAGACCACAGGGTCAATAGCCAGTAACATGCAGACACAAGAGCACACACATACAAACCTCTCCCAATGTGATTTTGATGTACAACCCAGGTTAAGCACTAGGTTAATATGATGGTTAAAAGCGTGGCCTCTACTAAACATGGAGTCAAATACTGCACCACCATATATCAGCAATATGACCCTAGAGCTCCTTTCTCAACAATATACAAAGTAGCTAAGATCAATAAGTAAGCATGTCAAGCACTTAGCAAAGTGGTAGAACAAAATAAGCAGCAGCCAGTGTAGGCTATCATTACCAGTGTCAAGTTGTATTACTTCCTCTGAAATAGGTACACTATTATACCATTACTTACAAACTGTAGTGTAATTTTTTTTTTTTTTTTGTGACACTCTACGGCTTCAGCTCAGGGAATAGGTGCTGTCCCTAAGCTTTTTTTTTTTTTCCTTCTTCTCACTGCTAGAGCTCTACCACTTAAGCCACAGCTCCACTTACAGCTTTTTTGGTGGTTAACTGGAGAGAGTCTCACAGACTTGCTTGCCTGGGCTAGCTTCAAATCATGACCCTCACATCTCAGTCTCCTGAGTAGCTAGAATTCAGTGCCCTCCCCCGCCCTTTTTTTTGTCTTCAAGTCCTTCCTGCCCGTTCTCTATGCTACCCACATTTGAGTAATCCAATACAACCAATTTTACCCCTAAGGGACAATTTTCACTGATACATTATCAATAGAACCAAAACCAAACTCCTGAAAGCTCAGGATTCAAGTTTCTTCTTATCTGGCCATGAACTGTCCTAAATCCTGTGTTCCCTACGTGGGTTTCTTATAAATGCCTTCATTTAAAATCTTTATAAATCCAGCTCCTATCTTTTTGAGACACAAGTTATTATGGAACACACTGTTAGTAAGCCGCTTGATCTCACCTTTCTGATTATCCAGACTTGTGCATGCATTCCACTCCCCTCTTCTTCTCTCCCATCTCCTCGTTCTCTATACTGTGACTTCCCACTAGATTACATCTGAGTAGTGGCTGACTTACTCTCTTTCCTCCAATATTTTTTAAACTTTAATTTGGTAGTACTGGGGTTTTGAACTCAAGGTTCTGAACTTGAGCTACCCAAATTCTTTTTGCTTTTTCAGTTAGGCACTTTACCTAGCCAGGCCTTCCAAATAGTTGGGATTACATCCTGAGCTACTGAGCACAGTGCCCCTGCCCCTACCCTCAATTCTTGCAGGGATAAAAAGCTCCTAAACAGAGTGTGCTCAAATCAGTAAGAATCTGCTATTCAAGCTATCACTGTGGTCTTTTCCCTAAAGGTCTGAATACACTAAAAGAAATGTGTATAATCACATCTGCTGTTTCAGATACATTCAGCTAATTACTATGTGTTCTTGGCATTAACATTACAGTTTGGGTACTGGGGTTTGAATTCAGAATCTCACATTCTTGCTCACTTTTTTGTTCACAGCCAGCAGTTCTACCAACCACATGAGATACACCTCCAGTCTTGCTTTATTTATTTTTCTGTTTAATTGGATATAGTGTGTCTTGGATTTTTCTAGCTCTGAACTGTGATTTTCAGATCTCAGCCTAGGATAGCTAAGATTACAGGCATGAGTCAGAACACCAGGCAACATTGCAATTCTGTAGTTCTAAATGTCACTGTATTTTTGACTGTCCCACAAATTACAACTAATACCTATATTTTTGCTATTATCAACTTAAATGTGGAAACATTCAAATTTCGGTGCCTTCACAGCAATCTTCTCTAACAAAAACACACCTTAGTGTTTAAGGGCCTTAGAAACTGGGATGAGGAAAGCTCTGCTTTGAGAAATCATTGGAGAAGCTGCATTCCATCTTACCTGTACAATTCCATTTACATGAAAACACATCACAAGCTCTGGTACATTGCATATCAAGTTGTCCAACCAATAGTCAATTCCAGTTAGCACATTAATTGGTTTGTTGTTATCCCTAAAAATATATATTTCTAGTGTTACTTGGTTTATTTAAGATGTTCTGTAATGAATCATATGACATGTATTTCCCCACTGAACTATCTTATTCTATTCTCCTCAATGGAAACTTCCATATATACTTTGTCTGATGAAGAAAGCACTCGTAGCTTAATGGTATGTTTGCATTTCTAACTGTATTGGTAAGCTTTCAGAGTAAATAAAGGGAAACAAAATGGATGACTGAGCCTACCACATGCTCCTTACTCAACTCCACGAAATACTGACCACCACTCAAGCTGAAATTCACACCGGCTAATGAGAATTAGATTAAGAATAACCTGTGAACAGGAAGTTGGAAAGCCACCTCCTTAATAAACTCCTGTGTTGTCTCAAACTACAAATTGAAACTATAGATTTAAAGCCAAGAGTAGATCACTCCAGCGGACTTGTGGCTCTATCCAATTAGATCTAGGACAAATACTTAGCTCTTGACCTTGTGGCATTTGCTGTAGGGAGGTCCTTCCCCACTGTGGCCACTTCAAATGGCAGGGGAAGGAGGGAGGTGAAGAAAATAATTGAAAAGAGGATGCCCAAATACAGAGGTAAAGCAGACAGAATGTTAATTATTCTAAAGACAGCATCTGGACAACACGCTCAAGGAGGCCATGTGTTGTTTTACCTGAGACGCAAGCTGACTGCTGGGTATCTGCCTCCACCAAATATAGGCATGTTAGAGCCAACCAACATGTGAATATCTTCAAATGTCCACAAAATGTTCCGGACAAAATCATTTTTAAGTCCCTATGATTCAAAATAGAAAAGACTGTAAGAAACAGGAGATGCACATTTTCCCCCCATGATCCACAGAGAGATCAGAACAAGGGAAAGAAAGAAGACATGGGCAAGCCAGAGCTGTAAGCGCAGAGATGTTTACAAAGAAAACTTTGTAAACTTGATCTTGGGATCAAGTTGATTTTCTTCCCTGTCAATTCCAATTGAGACTAGTCTTGTGCTGACGAAGTAGACCGAGGACTAGATGTGCCAACTTGGCGCATGGAAAGCATACCTGACTGTTCTCCCCGTCATTGAACAAAGTAGTCAGGCTTTGCTCTTTGGGTGCTGAGGCCACACGCCCCACTATGCATGAGGGCTCAAGAGGCTCACTGCCCTGTGGACGCAAGATAAGGAGTGATTCTGCTGCCAATACTTCGTAAAAAAAAAGACCTGTGTTTAAAGAGTGTCACCCAAATCTCAGAGCACACATCTCAAATCCACCTTTGCATACTGAGCCAACACAATTTCTAATCCTTACCACTGTGCTGTTTGCTTCAGCTCTAAATTATACCTGCTACAGCAGACTATTAACATTTAGATCTTATGCAAATGAGATGGAAGTCTTTCAAGATTTCTAAGTTTTCAGTTCTTATTTTTAGGCAAATTTGATTACCCCTGCACTTTCAGCTTATACCATCTCCACTGAGCTAAAAATTCTGAAATATTTCAGTTATAGTCTGAGACGCTCATTGTTACCCTGATAAGTCTCCAATTGAGCATGTCCTAAGGTGAGCTTCCAGAATCCAAGACCCAGGACATTCAGTGAAAACTTTCCAATCAGATTGGAAAAATGTCTCACAATATACTTTCTTACAATTTTACTCTTTCAATCTTCTTTGAAGATTAGCCATGTTTACTGCCCTACTTCCCCATATCCCCAAAGCCCCTTACAAAACAAAACAACCCCCCCTAAGTGTCTTCCAAGGTTTCCCAAACTAATCTCATAACATTTTCTGTTCTTAATATAGTCCATGGAATACATTTTCGAAAATACCTTGCTGTTGGGTAAATTCAGTCTATTACTCAAGTTTCTGTTATCCTTAAAAAACTACTTTGAATGTTTTATGTTTGTATTTGGCCTGACCCCAAGATGGACATATGTGCATGGTGCTTATTCAGGGCAATTCTGTCTTAATCACATGTATGTGTATGAGATTACCAGCTAGGAGATCAGCACTTATGCAGTGTCCTATTTCCAACTCTGGGAGGAACCAAGAACTTCAAACTCTTTATATTTTATCATTTGCGTATGTAGACAAGTTATCCACCTATGGGCCCCTTCCCCAAATGAAATTTGCCTGCTGTGGCTGCCAGAAGAGCCTTGGCTCCACATTACAACACTCTCAAAAGATGTTGGCTCCAAGCCCTCCCATGGACATTTATGTAACTTCTGTATTGCTTGAAAAAGGCTGGAACCTACTACTTCCAGTTTGGGGAGCAAGAATTCATGAGGCAGTAGGCTGCAAACATAAATCCCTAAAAGCCAGAGGTTAGACTGTATAAAATATTATGTAAAGTATTATTTTAATCGTTGGCTAGCTCTGCTAAGCTAATCCCACAGCTTCTAGATTCTTCCTAACTGTGTGGAGAACATAGACATAGTGGAACAGACATAGGGACCAGACCTCCAAGGCCAGAGAGCTGCATGTCAACCCTAGCTTGGACTTCACCACTTGTGTGATCACAGAAAGGCTTGTTACTTAGAACCTTGAATTTACTTATCTGTAAACTGCTATTGGTCTTACTACATATGAAGATCCAGGAATGAAAATAAACTTATACAAAGACACATAGCAAAAAAACATGGCATGCACTCTGCCTGTTTCCTATACGTGAGTCTACAGATTCTCAAATCTGCAAGCTTTTTCATTGTAATTGTAATTTCTAATCAACATAAGAACACACTGAGAGAAAGGCAAAATGGCAGTATCATAGTAGTGATTATTTTCCCAAGATGCAGGTTTTGTAGACAATGAATACTAAATGAATTTTTTAAAGTCATTGGTAATAATCACACATGATTTAGTACATAAAACAGCTAATTATAAAACCATATATATATATATATACACACAGGTGTGTGTGTGTGTGTGTGCGCACGCAATGCGAGATCAAACCCAAAGCCTATACATGCTAGCCAACTGCTCTACAACTGAGCTACAACTCAGCCCCCTTAACTGCAAAGCAATTACCACATGACCTGACCAGAGTACACAGGACAATATGTTCCTTTCTGGTCACTTGGTGGCTACCACTATGTGACTTGCATACTAGGTGATTCTTTTCCTTTTATTTCCTTTTTGGGAAAAAAGTGAAATTCATTATCTAGTTTCTCTACCTTACAACCTATTAAATTAATACTAATAATTCATGAAGATTTTAAAAAGCTGGCTGAACAGTGTAGGAGGACATACAGCAAGAGGAAAAAATAACATTACCATGCTAAATATCTTACTTTTATCTTAAGATATATCAATAGATTTTCCTGAACATACCACAAACAACATCTATATAGTAATTTTATTCTTTGACAGACATATAAGGACAAAAATAAATGAGGAAAAAGTAAAATAAAAACTATAAGAGATAAAACACACAACATAGTCTCTTCTAAAAGTTTTATAACATAAATGTGGGCAAGGACTAGGAACTCCAAACGTCTTAAAGAGGTATTTTAGGCCTAACTAAATTATGAACAGGCCTATTAGACTCAGTATTTGGTAGGTACTTACTACATATCTCAAGCTAAAAATGTACTTTATTGCTATGCTATGTAGTACTCATAATTTACCAAGAAAACCATAAACTTATTCAACAGGGTACTGTAAAATATTTTGGCTTAATTAATTAAAAAAAAACTAGTCTAACCATTCATAACAGATCTTACAAATTTTACTGCCAAAAAAAAAAAAAACCTACAAAAAGAAGTTACTCTCTAATTCTTAAACATAGCTTACAAAAGTACTATTCTCTGCCGGGCACTGGTGACTCATGCCTGTAATCCTAGCTACTCAGGAGGCTGGGATCTGAGGATTATGGTACAAAGCTAGCCTGGGCAGGAAAGTCTGTGAGACTCTCATGTCCAATTAACCACCAGAAAACAGGAAGTGGCAGTGAGGCTCAAGTGCTAGAGCACTAGCCTTGATCTGAAGAACTGAGGGACGACGCCGAGGCCCAGAGTTCAAGCCCAATAATAAAAACTACTCTTCCTATCTATCTGTTCTCTTAATAAAATAGCTGGTTCTGTCTTACTATATGGGTTCATTTAATTGGTATTCAAGTACTAACAGACCTGACTGGAAGCACTAGGGTCTTCGGGAACTGAAGATGGCATTTCAAAAGGAGCAGGCCATGAAGCCCCTTCAGAGTCAGGGGTGTCATCAGAAGCAGATGGTTCCTGCTGCTGCGCAGCGGGTGGGACAGGCTGGGCGGCTCCATCACCATTGATACTGGGTGATCGGAAATGAAAACAAGCACAAGGTTACTAAAGCTAACAGCCTACTCATTTGCAAGAACTAGACTCTACAACCGAGAATACAAGAATACTAATACCACAGGAAAACCATTAATTTTACTAGCCTCAAAATAAATTTTAGATAAGAATCTCATATTTTCCTTAAGATAATAAACAAGAAACCAAGTACCTGTAATACAGAAATTTGGATAGGATGGCCTTCTGGTACCAGTGTTCTTTGCTCTTTTTCTTTCTCTGCCACTTCTGATCTATCAGTCTTTGATAAAACTCTTTCAACCAGGTCCAATCACCAGTCTGAATAACATACACAAAAAATATTAACCATAATACATATGTAGTCAAAATAATGTTACCTTTCTATGGTCTGTATCCCTAATGATCCTCAAAGACCTGTGTGTTAAGGTGTGGCCCTCAGTGTACAAGGAGGAGGTGGAACCTTTAGGAGGTGGACTGTAGCGGACAAAAAAAACAAAAGTAGGGCCTGAGAAGGTGGCTCAGTGGTAGAGTGCTTGCATGGCATGCATGAGGCCCGGGTTTAATTCCTCAGTACCACATATACAGAAAAGGCCAGAAGTGGTTCAAGTGGTAGAGCATTAGCCTTGAGCACAGAGAGGCTCAGGGCAGAGCCCAGGCCCTGAGTTCAAGCCCCCCCAAAAAAGCCAGAAGTGGAACTGTGACTCAAGTGGTAGATTTGAGCACAGAAGCTCAGGGACAGTGCCCAAGCCCTGAAGCCTAAGCTCAAATCCCAAGACTATCACACACATATAAAAGAAGTTCACATCTTCTCTTCTTCTAAGCCAGGCCAGAAGGGGTAGCTCTTGTCTACATAATTTTCTTTGTTGTAGGTATGACCTAAGAGTAGGTATGACCTACTTTGTACAAAACTGAAATTATCTGTGCATATGCTTTTATTACTGAAGTATGAACTGTTTAGGACCAAGAGCTGACTTATTCAGTCTTATCCCAAGACCTTGCCCCATGTCCAGTATAACATGGACTGTACAGCACTGTGCTCTTTTCAAAAGGAGATATATACTGTTGTTGTTGTGGGGCTTAACCTCAGGGTCTGGGTGCTGGCCCGAGTTATTTTACTTAAGGGTAGCACTCTACCATTTTGAACCACAGCTCCACTTCCAGTTTTCTGGTGGTTAATTGGAGCCAGGAATCTCACAGACTTTCCTACCTCAGCTGGCTTTGAACCATGATCCTCAGATCTCAGACTGAGCACCCAGGATTATAGGCATGAGCCACCAGTGTCCAACTTCAGAAAAACTATTTTAAACATCACTATAATCACTATAACTTATTTCCTTGGATGCACTGCAGAACTATTGTTTAAAGAGTAGCCTTTGAATTGGCAGACCTAACAACTACTTGTTTCAAGTGTACAAAGACAGGTATAGAAAGCAATAGAGAGCAAGCCTTGAGAAATTAAAGCACTGTTCTGTGTTCTACACAAGTGTCCATGGTTAACACTTGAGATTACTATTGTTCATAGGAATAGCTTTTTAACACTTTCCACATTTTCTGATAGCCAAGTTTCTACAGAATCTCCACAGTGTAGACGTCAGAGGGTTTCTCAAAATTTTAAATTTCACAGGTTTTTCAGAATTTTCTTCATTGACTTCATCTTTTTCCTTGAAGGAATCCTCGCTACTAATACTCAGGAATTTTTTTTCAGTTATTTTCGATCTTTGATAAAATTCTTCATTTCCTTATTGCAAAAGTTTTCAGCTACATTTCTACTTTGGCATTCCTCTGAAACAAAAATCACACTTCCAGTGCTCTTGAGAGACAGAATAATGCTTTTCAGAAAAGCATTACCTGAGATGATCTCATAAAGAGTTCTTGAATATCCAGCTCATCAAGTAAGAGGGTCCTTCCTATGCGGTGCACAGCCATGCTCACATGGGACTTGCTGTACGGAATCTTCAGGAGCTTTTTTATGTTCTTAAAAAAAAAAAAAAGAAAAAAAATAGTTTAGCAAGTCCCTTTTAGTGTAATCTAAAATCTTAAAAAAAAAAATTTACTTCATTCAATTTAAAGCACAATCAACCTTATTTCCTTAAGGCTATATGCACTGTACTTTACATAGACAACCATATAACCAGAGGAAAGGCAGACCTTTAAAGCCATAATCGCCTGCGATGATTCATACTATGCAAATGTGATGACAGCCACACAGTGATTTTTTACATGGTAGAATTTCTTAAAGTGGGCATAGGTGATACTATTAACAGTGACTAGGCTTTTGGCATATTGGAAGAAAGTTACCAAATGAGGATCAGTAGACTTTAGCAACCTATCTTTGTATATTTCAATTGGTAACATATGCAAAATAATCCCAAGCCCTGTAATCAATTTCAGTCACCATTATTAAAACACAACCATTAGCATTACTATTAATAGTTATCACTAAATTGCTTGGGAGTTGTTCCCTCTTCTGTGAAGAAAGGAGATGTGATAAAGAATATTAAAAACCTTTAAAAACACAAGACAATAATCAGACAACTACTGTCCTATTTCATCATCAGTTTCTCCAGACACAAAACAATATAAAACACCAGCACAACCACCCTCAGTTACATTAAATAATAGTAATACTTACTTCAGAGTCAGAGACAACATCCACATCATTTCCCACTGAATCAATAAAATCATACGCCATGCCAAAACTACAGGAGGAAAAAGGGCCATTGGTAAAAAGGCAAACAGTATACCAAATTTCACTGCTTCTAGGATATGCACTCCATGTGCTAACATCTCTGAATCTAGATGAGTATCACCAGTGTGGGTGGCTAGTGTTTCTTCCTTGGTTGTACATAAAACAAAGTCTGAAAATTCTACACATGTTTAATTTGAAAATACACAGTAACAACCATGGAAAACAGTATTAACTACTACTGTGAAACCCTAAAAAGTATCCAGGGGAAAAACACTTTAAGATGTCATTCTTTTGGAGTTGGAGCTTTGGCTTAGGTGATAGCCAAAGTATCAGAGTTCCAGCACAAGTCTTGGACAAAAAAAAACAGACACAAAAAAATTCATTTTTTACAACAAAATTTAAAACAACAAAAACACCCAAAAACATTTACTAGGTTTACTTAACCTTCCTTAGCTTCAGTTTTCCTCATCTGCAAAACACTTAACTATGCTCACCTGGGGGGAAGGTGGTAAGTAGAGAGGACTCCAAGAATATGAATTTTAGCACATTTTCTCTCTAAGACCCCAGGACCACTCAACATTAATACTACCAGCATAATTTCAGTGTCAAAAATCAAAGGCGTGGTGAATACATGCAGCGCTCACTGTACACCATGTGGAAAATGAAGTGTACAACTTGTGGGAAAGAGATAGGAGGGAAACACTGGAAGACAGTAAGGGAAGAGGTTACATTATCCAAAAGAAAAATGTACTCTTAACCTGACTATACCCCTCTGCACATTATCTTTATAACAATTTAATTTTTTTTTTGTCAGTTGAGGGGCCTGAACTCTGGGCCTGGTTCTGTCCCTCTGCTCTTCAGCTCAAGGCTAGTGCCCTACCACTTGAGCCACAGCGCCACTTCTAGCTTTTTCTGCTTATGTGGTGCTGGGGAATCAAACCCAGGGCTTCAGGCATGCAAGGCAAGCATTCTACCACTGAGCCACCTTGCCAGCCCCTTTAAAAATTTTTCTAAATGAAAAAAAAAAGGGGCTGGGAAGATGGCTCAGTGGTAGAGCACTTGCCTTGCATGCCTGAGGCCCTGGGTTCCATTCCTCAGCACCACATAAGCAAAAAGAAAAAAGCTGGAAGTGGCGCTGTG